TGTCAGAAGCACTTATTTTCGTTAATGTTTAGATTGTTTAGATTATTTCGATTTTTTTTTTTTTTTTACTACAAGAATTTTGAATTTTTTTTTTGAAGAAAAACTAACGATGTTTTTGATTTTGCGGCTGCGGTGGCGTGATCTAGTTTACCCAATTGAAGATGGTATTTCATAGGGCTCCCTACAAATATAACTAGCTTATTTATATTAACTAATAGTAAACGGATCACATCTCTACACCGGTAAATGATGGTACATACTTTTAAGAAATAGAATTTATATATCGCTTCTTTTGAAATAAATACGTCACTTATTTATCTGAAATCGAACATCGAATCATTAATTCTAAAACCCAATCAGAGCAATTCTATGAAAAACAAAAATATGGTCTGCACCTCCAGATTTTGTTGATCGAAATGGTAACTCACTTGGTTAGTTTAAACATTTCCGACTAATTAAAATTTGCTTTCAATCCATTGATCGAAAGTGCTTGAGAAAACCCTAAATCTGCACAGATAAGAAATTAATAAACGAATAAACCATTTTATAATTGATGGTGTAATCAGAGTACCATGTATTTAATAAATATTCATGTTGCGATTTTTTTTGTACGTAGTTATTAAGATTACCGTGAGAGATAGTGAATTGAACAAATGAATAATCTAATAGGCCAAACAATGATTTAATTTACAGTATAAGAAATAAATATCCATACAAGCACATCTCTATAAAAATATTTTTAAAAAATTACTATATGTAATTATATAAAAAAAACAACTGTAATATTTATTTAAGAATTATACACAAAAATTTCTAAAATACTTAATCTTATAATACTGTAATAGAAAAAAAGCATTGCAATAGATTGCAACTAACTGATCCATAACATTTTGGTTATATTTATTGATCAGTCAAAAAGAATGTCTGTCATGCCATCATCAGTTGTGAAAAAGACGCGTGGGTGTAAAAGAACGCGCATTAATTTAAAGTTTTGATCAACTGCTTGTGTAAAAATTCAACCAATCAATTCATGATCAATTTTTTTTTTATAATAGGCTAATTGTATGCACAGGACTTTGAAATGGCCCCTTTTATGTGGGTATTGTTTTGCGTTATCATAATTTTTGTTTGGGAACTTCTAAAGGTTATTACGAAGTTTCTACCTCGTAATTCAAATGAAATTAAAGAAGACGTTAATACACTTGAAATTAAAGAATACGTTAATACACTTGAAGAAATTGATGATAGGTTTTTTTTTTTTTTTTTTTTTTTAGTATATTTAAGCAGCGTCGTCTTATAATGTAGTTACAAAAGAATTTTTGTTTGTAGTGTCGGTTGCGACGTTTTAACACTCGACCATGGAATTAACACCAATTTACATCAGTCAAGACATCGTAAAATTGGATCCGAGAATTTTCCAGTAATTATATCAGATGTATCAGACGCGTCAGTATCGGATGAAGAAATGGCAACATCGGTTTCAGTAGCTTCTACAGAGACGGATTCAACAATAGTGTCAGAACCACAAAAACCAACTTCGTTCCGTACAAGTAGTTACCCTTATCCACCCGGTATAAATCCCTGGGGACGTGGTCGACCTAAAGCACAATTCAGAAGACCCAAAAAGCCACTGCGAATGCTATCTCCGGCGGAACAGGTTGCTAGAGAACTAAGTAAGTGTAATGGTTTCTTTAAACTACTGCTAATAATAAACAGTTAGTTTCAATATAAACGGTTTCTTCTTATTTGAAGGAGTACCTGTTGAAATCATAGAGATTATTCCGTCCAATAATCCATTTACTGTTTATAGACTCAAGAAAGGTAAAATTATTATTATTATTTTTTTCATAGTAGTTAAAACGAGTACTCACCTTATACATACCAAAAACAGAATAAATAACTTAAACGTATAAACACGGTATGGTTAAATGACCTAAATTTTTTTAACTAAAAAAAAAACTAACATTAAACATTTATAAAAATAATAGTAATATTTATTTGAGATATGGACTTTTATACTAGGTGAGTTTCATAATTTTGATAATTTTGATAAAAATTATATACCGTAAAAGCTTGAAATAACGGACATGGTCGTTATTTTAAGTTACGGTCAGCTGTAGCTTAAAATAACGACCATGTCCGCTATTTGCGTCATGCCAGACATCTGACTGAAATTAAGCCCCTGAAATTAGATCTTGTATGTAGAAATTAAATGAGCATCGATCATACAAAAATTAAATTTAAATTCACAAAATTTTAGGTTATATTTGTTTAATAGGGAAACTTGACATTATAAATTGGAAAAAAATATTCATTCGACGCTCGAAAAACTAAAGCTTAAGACAAATAATGGGCAATGACATATCGATATGGGATGCCTCGTATTAGTCTCGTATTTATTATGTGTTATTATGTGTTATTATGTGTTATTATGTGTTATTCTAGTTATACGTATCAATAAAGATATATATCTGTCTATATATGATTTTTTAAAATTTTGAACCTATATACTTAATTACTTAATATAAAAGGGATCATTTTTTTTAATTTGATTTTTAGAATTCAATACAAAAGGTTGTTATAAGTCACAAAAATAATAAAAAATTTTTGTGCATTTCTGTTTGAACAATATATAGATCATTATTTAAATCGGATTTTTTAAAATCGGTTAAATGTAAAAATGAACCCTTTTAATATAAGAATTTTCATATGTTTACTATCATTCTTGATTCACAATTTACAGGAAGTACATAAGTGGCCCTTATTTTCTTAATATCGCGTCCGTACGTTTTGTCGTCTCACGTAACTGTTTCCTAGTTCATAAACCAAATAAAAATGTAAAACAAACTATTAAAGACTTGAATAATCCTAAATAAATTTACATGTGACAGAATACAAGCATGGATAATTAACATACAGTGGTATCAAAATCCAAGGCATCAAGGCTTAAAATAGTAAGGGTCGCTCTTAGCAAACTTATATTTACTGTACGTATTACACATACGTATAATGTCTATATACGACATAAAAATTATGAATAAAGTATTTCAGCATTAACTTTTAATATTAATGTTAAGTAATTAATTTTTATACTGCGGAAATTTGTTAATTACATAATGCCACGAAATCAGAATTACTAATATCATAACCGAATACAGTATTTCAGCATACACGTAATGCACTATTAAGTATCATTATTTTAAATTTAGTAATTTATTTGCATCGAAGGAATTATATGAAATATATACATAGAAATAGTTTAACATTTCTTAACGTAAAATCATAATTATTTCTCAAGTAAAAGTAAATTATTAAAAAAAATTTGTATTGGCAAATATCTGTATGTTCGCAATTTTTTCTGAGTTTTTGTACAGAATTGTATTCATTTATAACTACTAGTAGTGATGGGACTACCGAGTTGTTAGTTAATACGTAATAAAATTCTTAATTGGTTAATAATATTTATATATTATTAATAATTTCATTTTAATAACTGCATATTGTTTGGGTCAAAATCCCGACAAACCATCCCCTCTACAACTTTAGGCAACATTAACCTAATGCGTGGTACATACTAGATAGCTGTGCTACGTATACATTATTAAGTATATATATAGTTTTTAATTAATAACTCGGGCTAATTGTTAATAATTATTCTGTTATTAATTATTAATTATGCCATCACTAACTACTAGGTTTAAAGTTTTGCACAGATTTTTCATTTGATTTATTATTTAATTTTTTTGCAAATCTGTACAGAACTGCACTAAAATTTTCCAAATGTAGTATAAAAAATATAAAAAATTGATTTTTTTTTTATTAATTATATGTTTAGAATTTGTATTGCTATAAAAAGTATAAAAAGGTAGGTTTTTGACCTTTTTAACCCAAATTTTAAATATATACCTAAAATTTGTATTAATATATAAAAAGATAGGATTTTGAACTCTTTAACACAAATTTAAATACGTATATATCTAAATTATGAAATATAATAAAAAAACAAACAATTTTTTTGAAGGTAAGGTTCCAACGATTACTGAAGCTGTAGGTCCATGGAAAAATGGACATCCTGGAAGAGGGACTCATAAGAATAAAATGTATAATAGATATCGTGAGATTATGTATGATGGTAAAGATATTTGTGAAGTTGAAACTTCTAGCGGAGAAACATTTATTTGTGATAGAGAAGATATTGATATTGTTAGAAAATCTACGTGGTTTGTACATGATGGGTACGTTAAGGATCGAGATTCCCATTTATTTCATCGAGAAGTTACTAAATATAAATGGGAAATGGTTGATCATCGTAATGGTAATAAACTTGATAATCGTAAAGAAAATCTTTTGGATGGATCAAATGGAAATAATCAACGTAATATGAAAAAAAGAAAAGATAATAAGTCTGATATTAATGGTGTATTTGATAATATTAAGGAAAAACGTTGGATTGCTACTTTTTGTATCGATAATGATCCGTTTAATGTGTCATTTAAGTACAATGATGACAATAATTCGTATTTACAGACGTATATGGAAGCCGTTCATTTTAGGAAAATAACCGATTTCTATCTACAGAATAATAATGGAAAAAGATAATTTTTTGTCTGAAATTAAAACCTATTTATATAATGTAAAATTTAAGGTAGGATTTAGTTTAGGGTTTGTAATAAGAGTACGTATACGTAGTGGATTTTACGTAGTACGTAGAGTTTATATATTTCTAAATTAAGGCGATTTTTTGTTATCTGTTATATAAATTACAATTACGTATAAATTATATTATATATATATATATATATCGTTATATAATAAAAGTTTAAAATATCTGATTGAATGTATGTGCATACTGTATATTTTCGGCATCCAGTTCGTTATAAAGAATTTTACATAATTCTGAAGAAAATTCTATTTTATATACTATTATATAATCAACCAAAACTAGTTTCACTTGTGTACTGCGGAATATATGTGTAAATCAAACTACCGTATCGCACTGCTTATAGTACCCGGGGGTCTTATTCAAGAACACCATTTTTAAAATTGAATAGTACCGGGTACTATTCACGAATCCGGCAATTTCATTGGTGGAGAAGGGGTACTTTATGTGGTAGGAGGGGGATACTATAAGCAGTGCGATACGGTATATCAGATATATGTGTTATATACCGTAAAATACGGACACGTGTACCCGGCGTGACAAATAAGGTAGATCAATTTTTAAAGTACTATTGATCAGTGTTGGCAAATGCATGACCGTTCATTTTGATTTTTAAATGAAAAGTAATGACCAAGTCATTTATCATTTGGTCATTTTAAAGTAGAAGTTACACAAACCTAAATTCGGGAATTTTATTGGCTAGATCTTTACTATACTTAGATTAAATTAAGCTATTCAGCTTAAGAGTTTCGTGGTACCATATCACGTGTACAAAGTGTATAAATCCTGAATTAAGTGAACCATCGGAGCTAAATTGGATTAACATCCATAATTGCTCCCAACTGATAGTAAGAGATATCGATATAAAAGAAATCCAGATTAATTCAATAATTTGGGAGTCAGTTATCACAATACTGATGAAACCATTCTGGAGAAGAGTCGCTCTAGCACATATTTCGCACTTTTTATTTTTATAATTTTTATATTAGGTCATTTGGTCATGTTCATTTGACACTACTATTGATGTTATTGATGTGATATAAACAACTGTATCATGTATGTGAAAAATTGCATCACACTGGGTACACGTTTACGGTAATAAAAATTAACTATTAATTGCACTTTTATAGCAAAGATACTGTATATTTAGATGTAGAGAACAAATTACATTATTTTTTTTTCTAATGTTTTATTCTTAACCATATTTTTAACAAAGTTACTTCATGTTATACTTCTATGTTAGTACTTAAAACATTTGAAAAAGTCGTCCTCTATACCTAAAAATGGTTCTTTAATAATAGTAATCATACTAAATATTCTTTAATAATAGTGATAATACTGTATATAAGCTGTCAAGATCACTATACATACTGCTGGATACCACATAGTTTGATCTAAATAGTTGGCAGCACACCCCAATATAACATGCGAAGAATATGAACACTGGCATATATACACGTCGCATATTCCATCCACTCTAATTCGGGTTCAGATTTTCTTCTGAGTTATGTCAATTTTATGGAAAAAAAAAGTTTTTTTTTCGCGAGTTAACACTTACTCGATATAGTGAAGTATATATAGTATTCTCTCGATATAAGCTATAAGCTATAGTGTTTTTTTTTTCAGCCCAAGGGACTTCACTATAACGAGAGTAAGTTGTATATCGATATGCCCATCAGTTAGATATAACCGGTTATAATAAACCAATTATCGATTTAAAAAATTTTCTAATCCGGTTATAACAAATAATCGATTACGATAACCGGTTCCAAATTACCTTCATTTTTATAATTTTAAAGTAAGTTACTACATTTCGTGTGATCAGTTGTTTTGAGAAAGTTAATACTGTATTATATATAGTTAATATATTGGAATAAAATTCAAATTCTCCAATGATCAAATTTATTAAATAGCCTTTTTATTTTATAAGCTCACTTTACAAAAAAAATTTATTTAAAAATTGGATCATTTATTCATAAAATCTATATAGCCTCGGAGTCATTTTCCTAGCAAAGGTTCCATACATATTATACATATATATTTAAACAATTAGATCGGTAAAATTGACTAATGTAAAGTCGACTCAAAAACTAGACATAAATTCTATGATATCACTTTTATTTATGCAAAAATTGAAATATTAAACTATTATTATCCTTTACTATTTATATATACTAATCATCAAATAAAATAGAAAAGACAAAAGGGTTAGACGCAGTTGCAGAAGAAGACAAGAAAGACATATTAGAACTTAGAAACTAACCTGTTTGATCCGGTTCTACATCTACCACATACTTATCTTCTTCCAAAACTGATACATATTCTTCAGGCATTTCAACAGCGAAGCCTTTCATTACGGTTGAATTATATTCTTTATAAATATTTGCTCCAAGTCCAATGAGATTTGACTTTAGAATTTCCATATCTGAATCCGATATATCTTTCCGCAGTACTATAATATACTTTTGTTTCTCTGAGGGCGAAAAAACTTTTAATATTTTTACTTTCAAAAAGTTAAACTGTGAATTAACTTTCAATCATACCAGGTTTCTCATTGGCGATGGGTTCATAGTTTGCAGTCACAATACAGACAACTGCGAAGGCAAGTATAGACAAGAAAACGAAAATTGCAAATTTGTCTTTCCTTCGAAGAGACATGTTTGTCAACAGCCACAATTTATCAAATAATTATGATATTATGATGTATGTGACAAAAAGATCATGTGCAGATGTGAAACAATTGATTATCTCTAGTACACGCATATCTGATCCGTCCCTTGATAGTCCCTTGATCACTGTTAATTCTGTAATTTTTGCGCTTTCTTTGACTGCGAGTTCAAAAAAATGTCTGGAAACCAAAGACTCAATATTTTTCCCACTCGAATGTACGGTATTAGTAGACGAACTAATTTTTTATTACTTTTACAATGTCATTTATTTATTCCTTTTTTTTAAAAAAAAAATTCAGGGCTTTGACTTTAATGAAAACAAAATTAAAGGGAGCTCAAACAGGGCACAGTTTATTAAAACGTAAGAGTGAAGCTCTCACAAAACGTTTTAGAACTATAGTTCACAAGATTGAAGAAGTTAGTATGACAGTCTTTGTTTTCGGTTTTTTTTTTACTATTTTTTATCGTGCAAAAATAAAATCTGAATATTTTTAAATTCACACTACTTTGTGTTCATAAAGGCTAAGCATAAAATGAGCAAAATAATGCAAACTGCCTCATTCTCATTGGTCGAGGTAGCTTACATTGCTGGCAGCGATATTAAGTGAGTGCTTCCTTCTTAATATTAATTTCATTATACTCTCTAGATTAATGCTAAATAAATAATGTAAAGTTATCAGGTTCAAGAAAGTGTTAAAAGCGCACAATTTCGTGTTCGCACAAAGCAAGAGAATGTATCTGGTGTCATGTTGCCTGCATTTGAATGCTATACAGAGGGTGCTAATGGTAGTTTACAATTTATTTTAATTTCATTTCTTGTGATTTCACTTATAGCAATTTTTCATATCGCTTAATATTACACAATTAATTTTATTACTATTTTTTATTCAAGCTTTTGAATTAACTGGTCTTGGACGTGGTGGTCAACAAATTCAAAAATGTAAGGAAACTTATGTTAAAGCAGTTGAAACTTTGGTAGAATTGGCTTCATTGCAGGTAATAAATAATATATTCAAAATTTATAATGTAACTGATGTATACGTTATTTTGTTAATTCTTTATATTCCATTTAGACAGCTTTCGTTATCTTGGATGAAGTTATAAAGATGACAAATCGTCGTGTCAATGCAATTGAATACATTATTATACCAAGAATAGAAAATACTATCAAATATATTATTTCTGAATTAGATGAACAAGATCGTGAAGAATTTTTCAGGTGAAATAATATATAGTTATTGGATGCGAAGTAGCCAATAATTACATATATCTTATTCAATAACTTTGTTAAATTTTTATTAATCATTATAAATGATTTAAAAAGATTAAAAAAAGTGCAAGGTAAAAAGAAGAGAGACCAACAGGCTGCTGATAAGGAACGTGCGGATGTAAGCGGAGGTGAGATGCTTGATGAATTATAATACTTTTTTTGTTTAATAATTACTACATTGAATTTAATGTATTCATTTTTTCTAATTTATTTTAGAAATTTCACAATATGCGCAACCTGTGGACTTATTGGAAACCAGTGATGATAATGATATTATTTTTTAAATTGAATTTTAAAGTTAGTAATTATTTAGGGATTGTTGCGTCATTCTGTAATTTATGACATAGGGGAAACTTTGCATAAGAAAGCAAATTTATCAATAGAATTGAATTTTATGCAGTAGTATAATTGCAAAAGAGAAAAATAGGTTATTATATATCACTAATTATAAAAAGACAATCGCATATCAATTTTTATAATAAACATAAGACTATGATATATATTTATAATAAAGATTTAAATGTTGCATAAATTAAACAAAAATAATTAGAGGTTAAATTAGATTATATGAAAATAATCACTAAATGACTATTTAATTAAACCAAATTTTTAGTTTATCAATATGATAAAATTAATATAATAACTAAAAAAAAAAAAACATAATAAGTTCTTAAACCAAGCAATATACAAAAAAAACATTATAAGTTCTTAGTCCAAGCAATATATATAACAAAACCCTTCTCAAAGTCAGACCCCAGCATAGAATTTGGTAATCGCCACATAATAAAATTTCTACGCTTCATCTCTTTCAGAAACTCGAGATGAACGATATCAGATCTCAACTGCACAGCAATGATAACTATCGTAGGTTTTACCTCTTTGATCCTTTCATCATCTTGAACACTTTCTTCATGAATTCTTTTCACAAATTTGTCATTATTACATAATTTAACTAAAGCTTCAACAAACGCACCAACAATGAACTCATTATAAATACAATCACTTGCAATAATATAATCCCAATGTTGTGACAAAATATCTTTATCAATTTCTTCACCCCAAACCAACTCTGCAACTAAAACCTTTGATGAAATTAAATCACTATTCAAATTTCGTTTAACATTTTTCCATAGATGAGGTAACATTGTTGCTTGATCTGTTAATGCTATAAGCTTCACCAAAGTGTTAGCTAATGAAATACCAGTTAAACCACATCCAGAACCTAATTCCAAGATATTCGTTCTATCAATTGAAAGGTTAAGCCACTTTCGATGGGCGAACATAAACTTTGAAAGCATGATACTTGAATTCCAAAGAACCGTTCCTGTTGTACCACTTACGGAAAGGAGTGATTGATTTTGTGCAATTTTTATGATCAATTGATCTGAAAAAATTCAAAAAAACATTTTAAAATAATTACTTGATTATAATACTTAGGGATCTGCAAATACCCATGCCGGGAATATTGGCATTAGAGCTTACGAGGTTATCTATGGGCGCAAAAGTTCCGGGCATTTTGTAGGCACGCATGTAAAGTTCCAGGCACCTTTGGGCCAAGTACTTTGTGCCAGTAATTTAGATCAGGTCTTTATGCTTATAACACAAGGTACCCAACATGTGCCTGAACTTTGTGCCCACGCCTACAAAATGCCCAACAACTTTAGGAACTTTAGGCCAAATATTTGCATTTACGCCCATACCCATATCTTTGTAGATCCCTAATAATACTAGAGAATTTAATTAATTGTAATTTTTGACCATCGATCATAACTTCTATATAAGCATCCTTTTGTGATATGATTGGATTATTTTGCCATTCTAAAGGACATCCTTCAGTATATAAGAGAAAGACTTCTTCATCTGCATCTATGACTTTTACTGAATTTTGTGGGATAGAAATTGGAGACGTTAATGTTATATTATCATCAGCCATCATAGAAAAAGTGAAAAAAAAAACCTGCTTATAAATTTGGTGATCACATGTGTCACCAAAATATCGTGTGAAAAAATCGAAAAATTATAGCTGCATAAATACAATGTGTCGACTTTGCATAAGTTATCAAATCGTAATTAGAAAACATCATTTTTATTCCTTGTTGTATAAAATTAATGGGACACATGATGATGGCCACAGTCTCTGAACCAAAACAACAAAATGGACATAGCGATCCTCGAGCACAACTAGAACAAACTATAGATCAGTTGCTTACTAAAATATGGGAAATCATGGTACAACTTAACGAGTATGATTCAGAAAATAAGTGGGCAGTGAGTCGCTCTTTGTACGTTTCATTCATACTTTCCTGATTGGCATTGTATTTAGGTAGGTAAAAAAGGAATATTATTTATCATTAATTTTAGGACTGATTTGGTTGCTTGTTTTGAAGAAGTGAACATACTTCAAGAAAAGATTCAGCACATACAAGTTCCTATGAAAGTAATAGAGTACGTACATTTTTTTTTGATTTTAAATAACTTTTTTTTGAATATTACAATGATTTTCTTTTCTTTTTTTTTATGAAAAATCGACTCATAAAATATTTCCCTTTAAACGATTAGATTTATTGACGAAGGACGTAATCCTGATATCTTCATGGCTGATTACGTGGATGAAGTTATGCAAGAGAACCAAGCGGTTAAAGTCAAAAATGAAGCAATACAAGTAATAACTTAATATTAAATCATTTATGTATATGTTTCTCGTTATATGAATTTGGATTTTATTTTTCTAATTATAGTGGGAAATTTAACTAATCAGGGTTTTAGAGAAATGCTCCTCGAACAATTAAAAGAAACTTTCCCTGAACAAACTAATGCTTGGTTCCGGATATCTAATCGAATATCTGGATAGACATCCTATTTTATATTTCTTTAATCCGGATTTATAAATAGATGTTTATTTAGTTATCCGATACTAATCCAGTTTATATCCGGTTTTTATTAAACAATTTATTAGTTTATTTAATAAACGAATATACGTAATCGAACATTATACCTACAAAATTGGTAGTTGATTTAGTCTGCATAGAATTTAACACCATATTTCTTAAGGAATAACATACTATGTATGTACCAGACAACTTAGACAACTTGAGATATTTTTTTTTTATTCATTGGACTAAGAACGTCTCTGCAAAAGTAATTTTGATCAGACAAATTATTTTTATTTTATTTTTATTTTATTTTTCTTTCCTGATGAATTCTATTTATTCAATATTATTTCTTTATGAATAGTGATTAATGGGAAAATAAGAATGTTTAAATAAATTGTTATAGGTCGTGTTAAAATATAATATAATTATACATGTATGAGATGAAAATGAAATTGATGTATAGGCAGTAAACGCCAAAATATTCTCAAAATAAATATTATAATTTACATATTTGCATCAATTCATAAATTTTATTAGCCAAAGAAAAATCTCTAAACTGATATTTATCATAAAAATTTTGAAAAGCAATTTTGCCTATAGGGTTTACCCTAATCTCTAATAATACTAAACCTTATTTTAAATAAGTGAAACAAATTACGTCTTGAGTCAAAATTTTTATTAAAAATTAATTTTTTAAAAAATTTAAAACTTTATTTTATCAAGAAAAATTAAAATCTAATCATTACTATAAATAATTTTTTTTAATTATTATTTTTCATCATAAGTGTTTTTTAAAATCTTTTTGAAATTTAGTATTATTATATAGTATATTTTTTTTCAAAATTTAGCACCGTAATATAATTTTAGTACTGTAAACTAGATATACCATATTTATCTTTACTTTCATAGATTTCTTGTGTTAATTTACCAAGCATACTATAGTTTGCTATAGTACTTTTTTTTGTTTCAGTTATCTTGCGGAGGAGTTTCGATAGCTTTTCTGGTCGTAGTTCATGGAAATTTGATCATAATTCTTCCAACGTCATGGGTCCAATTACAGGTTAACCATCATATGTTTAACCGATAAGGTATCGATTTTATTAAAGATTTTTACATTTCTAAAAAAAAACAATTAAGCATTTCTAGTAATTATTTTTCACTTATTGTATACATATTCTATAACTATTAAACCTAACATATCACTTTTATCCAACATATCTTAATTTTCTTAATCTGAAAATGAAAATAACGAAGTTTTAGTAATTTATAGCCTTTTCTTAACAAATTTGATTGGTTTTTGAGTTTGACACTATTGACTAAAAATGGGACATATATTTGGGTTTGACTATTATCCCAAATGAAGTAGAAATCCCGATTCCCAAACCCAAACTATGTAGTAATGTCATAATTCAAAAAAAAAAAAGGTTTGGGTTACAACCCTAGTCGCCACAAAAATCGCGGTCACACCTTTTTGCAAAGCGCTACAATGTCCCTACCGGGAGATACCGAAAAGTTGTTGAACATTGGATCAATCGTAAACAATTGGGAAATGATATCAAAATTTGTTCTTACCTTTCGAATTTTGACTTTGGTTTGAGAATCGATTCTAAACACTAGTCTGAAAAACAGTGTCGGGAAATGTTACTATCGGAAAAGGATAGTCAGGGAAATGATTATCGGGAAAAAATCGATTCCAGACCAATTTGGTCCAGTCTGAGGCCTGAGCAACTTTGTAACAGACCAAATCAGACCATTAACATCTCTAATCGTCGTCATCGTCATCATCTTCGTCATCTTCCATTTCATAATCCTCGTCTTCATTCATGACCACGGATGTCAATTTTTCACGTGCAAAAGATGGCTCTACAAGAATATGAGGAGACATCTCAAAAGAGAATGATAAATCGCGGGAAGTTATTGTTCTCTTTTCTTGGCTTGTTGTGGCAGCCCGATACCTACAGTCGGCATTTCTCATTCCAGATGAGTTAATGCCAAATGAATTACCAGCTCGGGTCTTTTGCATAACATTGCCAATAATATTTTTAAGATGTGACTATTAAAGCAATTCATACAATGTTAGCGAATATTTTAGAATAATTATTAGAGTTCCAATCCGGATGAATCCGTCATCCGTATCTAATTATTCAAATCGCTCAGATATCCGGATAATCCCGGATAATCTGACAGTTATTCGGATAATTATCCGGATATCAATATAAAACGGATATCCGAATAAATTTAGATCCGGATATCCGATGGATAAGTGGATAAACGAATAATGGATAGGTGCACTAGAATAATTGTCGCGGCGAAGCTGAAATGGCTGAAGCTGGAAATATTGATTATTTTAATATGAAATTTTCAAAAATTTTTGGGGCCTTTTGTTAGAGTTTTTTTTAGGGTTAGGTTAGTGTTTAGGGGTAGTTTTAATAATAAAAGAGTATAAGTGGATTTTGGTAGGGTTTATATTTTTAAATCAAGGTCTCTAATTTCCAGCTTCAGCTGCGACAATAATTTTAAAAATTAAAATAAAAAATGAGACAAACCTCCAATCCATAATTGAGTAGGCTTGCACAATCTTCTGAAATATTTTGCAAGCCATTCGCTCGTGCTATCTCTAAAATTCTGCCATATAAAGTATTAGAATCGGGTAGTGCTTTCATTTCTCGACAGGTTTGAACACGTTCTGGATTGACTATGATAGTAGATTGTTATAAGCTTATATTTGTAACGAACAGAGCTCTGTTAAGTACTTAAAATCTAATCTTACGTTGTGGTTTAACAACATTTTGTTGGTCATTATAATCAAATAATGGTAACTGCTCTGACTTTGGCACTGGTAAGACTGTAGTCATAGGATCTGGCATCGTTATAACTCCATTTAAATCCTATAATATAAATTTGTATAACAATATTTTGCGTTCGCAGATATAATATAGATTTTGTAAATAAAATTATTAAAAAGAATCAGAAACCTATTTTAAATATATCGCCGAGCGAAATTACTATCAACCTTTCTTAAACTTTTAATTCTCTCTCGTTCTTCTCGGGGTAACGACATTACAAGCTCTTTAATTCGTCGTTTCTTAGGATCAGGTATCCCGTCACTATGACCATGCAATTCATCTTCACGACTACGTTTCTTTTGTTGAATGACCGGATGATTTTGTGGTGGTGGAGGGTCGTTGCACAAACAATTATTAAGTATTCCTAACAACAGCATATTGTGCAACTCGACTTTATGATAATAATTTATAAATAAGTAAAGGAATTCTTGCTCATTAACAGACATTCAAATTATACGAGAAGATTTTTAACATACGTTGTTCCTTATCTACTAATGAAGGCCTCACGATTTGCTCAAAATCTTTTCGAGGGATTTTACAA